ACAAAATGTCTTAAACGCAGGAAATTAAAGAGATTGGCAACTATAAAAATTTCTTAATTTGAAAACTTACTTTATAGTCAAAGTAACTATTGAATTGAAAGTAACTAAAAATTTCATATTACAAAACAAATTCTGAGACACATTTGAATATATGTATTTCCCATTAAAGAGCTCTGATGTGAGTAACACAAACTGTTATGTGTAATATCGAAGTTCTTAGTAAACATTTTTATTCTACGTTGGCTTGAATTTGCTTATTAAATTGTTTACTTTGCTTGAAAACATATTTTAGTATTCTTTTAAACCCAAGGGTTTATTAATATATATCATATTTATAAAAAAATTAGTCACCCTGGATTTTCAAAACGTAACCTTTTCGGGGCTTTATTAATACAAAACTACCATTAAATTTTCATGTAGTCACACTCTTCAATATTTGCATATAATTACAAAATACCATATATATCCACAAACACTATCAGTTTCGGTTTGGTTATTAAAGCAAAGAATTGCGGATTTTTTGACACAAATACGCAAAAAATTATCCACCTAATTGAAAAAGGAAGTTTCTACGTACCTAAAGTGCACATCAATCCGATAATTTTAGCGACAAGAGTTTTAAAAGTCAAATACTCCTTTAGTGCTACTCCCCTTAAAATGGTTTTCATCTCCGGAATACCCGAACCTGTAAATAACCCAAAATGAAACATACAAAAAATTGTAACAAATTAAAAAGTCAGTAACATGCATAATTTAGAATTAATAATTTTAATTTAATAATAATAATTGTTTTTACTTACCTATTGATTGTGGTGCTACCAAATGTACAAATCCTGTACTGAACAGTATGAGTGTTAATGGTAAGATTACCCAGGATGCATATTGGGCAGCAGGATTGCTTGAAAGGTCATTGTATAGCCAGAGTCTTGCTGAAAAGTATGTTTTTATAATTTTTTAAATTAAAAAGATTAATGAAATATAACAGTTAAAATTTATTAAAAATATGTTAAATTKCATATTKGGCTAATTAAATCAGGTTTAAATAGTGGAGAACAATTAGTTTGGCTGACCGATTGTAACTAGAATATTCGGGTAAATTGTAATTTTGATATTTTAATTGTTGAATACACTATAAAAGTTTARACATCAAACAACCATATACGATATTTATAAAAATCTCAAGTACTTTTCGTTATGGAATAAATATTAATATAATTTCSGMGACTACTTACTTAAAGCTTTCATAAAAAAGYAATTGAAAGTTTATTAGTTTACTGGCAGATGTTCATTTTTCGAAGTCATAAAAATAATTTATTTACTATTTTGCTATTGCATCAAACTTCGTTCAGGTGTGTTTCAGATTAATTATTGGTTTACATTAATTAAATATTTGTCATAGCTGGAAACTAAATCGTCTTGTTCTTCGATTTCTATTCGATATTAAAAAATATGTATTTGCTTCTGTATGCACGGTTAAGCTGTTAGTATCAAATGAAACAGAAAATGTGGGTTGTTGCAATTTCGAGGAACAAAAGGCGTAACTTTAGTTTATCAATTAGTCGCTATTTGCAGGTAAACCAATGCTCGAACTGCATGCTCAAAAGTAATAAATTTGACTATATTAAAATTTATAAGTTTTCTGTATTCAATTTTAGTGGATGTAGAGACTTCTGCTAGAGACGACAGAGAGACGTATGCTTCTCTTCTCTTGCTTGTCAGGAGTAGATTATACTTAATTGTTAGTTGTACAAATACACAATACTTTGATAATAAATATGTTACTTATGGTGTCATGTTCATTATCTTTGATGGTTTGATCATTCATTGATATTTCCTGGAAATAGGTCACGCTAAGATGCACACTAGTTCCAAGATATCTATATTTTTGCCACATTTATTGCAAAGTTAAAAGCTTTTCTCGGTTCTAAATTTGGATTATTGGATAGCATTTTCATTATTATGATTACTCATTTTATTTTGAGCAATATCGGCTGCGATTTAGGTCATAATTGAGTTAAAGAGCCGCATGAATTCAATTTCATGTATTAGAATGAAAAAACAAATATAAATATTGAAAAAATTGATTTAACAATCTATATTTATTTTGTTTCGCATGTTTCCAAATGCATTGGTTGGTTCTTTTGGTGTTCCATTTATTATAAAATTTAATTGCAAACAGATAAATTGCTTACCTGAGCTACACATGGATATGCCGCTGTCCATTATAAAGCTTAAGACTGCCATGATCACACCTAACAGGGCCAAAAAGACCCAGTCTTCGCCAAGTCGCGCAAACGTATGCTTCCATAGAAAGGCGATGCTTTTTGCTAATTTGCCTAAAAAACAAATAAAATATGCGCGTTATTTTTTACGTGCAAAAAACAAAGCTTGGTAAAATGTGGTATTAACTCAGATGTCGAGAACTCAGACCAGATGCTTCTGAACAGCACCAACGATCTTCTTTTGTCATCGCTTAAAACCAATCTAGTGGCGTTATTGTAATCAGTTCATTTAACAAAATTACAATATATAGTGTTAGATGCTAAAAGGTGTCAAAACATTGTTTTAAGGTACTAAATGGTGATAGCGTGTGCCCATGATTCATTATTGACTTAATAAATTAGCAATATTTAAATCGTAGTCAGTTTGATATGACTACGAGGGCTATGAGACAACAATTTACTGAGAAATTACTGTTATCTGCGTTTTTTGATAAACATTTTATTTTTTAAATTAACAAAATTTACTATAACTGGGATTTGTATTTGTGTTAACATGCAACGTGTTTTGACAACTAACTTATGCTACATATTCTTAAAATAATGCGATTTTGCTTAATTTCTTCAATCTGAAATTATAGAGAGAGCAAACTGAAAGGCGGAGAAATGGACAAAATAGAAGGCCGACAACATTCTTTGGCATAAGAGTGTATGATTTAATGTTTTTCCAAAAAATAGTACCACGCTTTTCTGACATTGAAGGCCAAATGAGTTCTGATCATCTTATATTCCTAAATAAGACTTCACTTTATAAAGCGACTGCGTCTATCCGCTAAGGGCAAATGATAAGTTCTTGAATGTTTTGGCACATTAATTGCATGAATATTTCAGTTTTTAAGTGGATTTGATTGATTTTTAGTTGATGATTGACTTATGATGATGGGTTATAAACTGCAACTCATGTAATAGAGCAATGGGTATGACCCCCACATTTCAATCATGTATTTATAGCTCGTTTCTTTTCTTATGTTTCTTAAATTTTCAATTTCTCGCCTGATTATTGGTTTCAGTTTACCACAATAATCAGCGGTTTGAAATCATCAATCCAAACTATCCACTTTTAGACTAAGATTCATTAATGTAAGTAAACTTATTCCGACTCAAGCGTGTAAACACTTCTTTGAGTCCACTGGCTGAGTATATTTTCATTGTAAATCAATGCAAACGTTTGAAAAATTTGATGTTTTTGGTCAACATTTTAGAAATACACACAATTTTACATCAACAATGTTACAATGAAAGGATCAGTAAAAAAGCAGTTGCGCAACTGGGGAAAGAAAGCATTTTGAATTTTCTATTAGAAATATGTGACTTAATTTAGGTCCATAAATTGAGGATTACGGGCGGTGTACAGATGACACAAGTATGCTCATATTAGGGCTTATTGCAGGCTTCAATTTTAATATGAAAATCGATGATGATGATGATTATTCTTCTTAATCTTGTTTTTCTTTGCCGTTAGGTTAGTTACTCTTTTCCTATCTAGATCTGCTTATTATTAGCAAAAATTTCGAACATATGGCACATATATCGTGTTTGCGCTTGTACTAATAGCGCTGCACTAACAATATTGTCGTAATACTAATAAAATTTTATAATTATTAGTTTTTAATATTCAGTAAAGACTTACGGATGCCATTTTGGAACAGACGGACGTTTTCAAACATTTTGGCAGCAATCCACAACTTAGGTCGGCATTATCACTCGTTAATATTTTTAGCCATACTGAGCCACAATTCCATAATCGTGCGAAGTAGACAGTTTGTAATTAGTTTTATCAGGATACTGTTTAAATAAGATATAACTAAATCCGTAATTTGTTTCTTTTGCCCTTAAGCTCGTGCCTATTTGAGATTAGAAATTTAAAAATTCTAATCTGGAAGGGCACTTAATACGAAAAAGCGGTTAACTAATTTGATGTGAAATTAAATACGAACTGATCTTTTAAAAGTTTTTAAAACACATATTTACCTACGGGAATTCGTATTAATGCTGGTTATCCAGTTGGAAGTATTCATCTAATATAAACTTTTCGCATTTGTTTGCTTCTACGTTAAATCCAAAAGTAATTGTTGACATATAATTCTTACTATTGATATTGACTATCAGGTCACATTTCCTATTATTTAGGTAGTATTTGTATTTTTTCCGTACATTCTCTAATTATTTCCGGTTTCTCTAAACGATTTTGATTTATTACGTACTGTAATTCATTTTGAGAACGCGAACTTTTGCGAATTTCTTGCATATGGTCGCGATTATGTCCAAACTGAAACTGGACTAGATCCTTACAAATGAAGGATAAATTAATCTATTCCTGGTAATTAATTTAAGACATTCCTTATTTTTCATGTTCTCGTTTGTGGTTAAAAAGATTAAAAGGCGGTTTTTTTATAATTGAAGTTCTCATAGTGTCGTCCTCTTTGAAATTAGCACGACATCTGATGTTGTTTAATAAAATATAATATGAATTCTTTAAGGTTCGGCAGGATATCTACAATATAAATGAGGTTTTTCTGCTGCTAAATAGGTTTAATTTTATGCAGCAAACAATATAGCATTGCACTATTCAATCGGTCAATAAGGAATAAAAAAAAAACATATTATTAAAGTTTAAGTTTTAGTACAAGGAATTGCGTAGGTTTACAGTTTTGAAAAAAATAAAATGTTTTCTTATTGATATTTAAAAGTCAAGGCTTTTTAAAAATATAATGAGAAACTTATGTTGGTCAAAGAACTTTTCTAAATCTGAATATGTTTTACTTAATTAATTGTTAATTTTGTAATATTATTGTTTAACAATTGTTAAACAAATCGAAGATTCGTTCTACCGGTAGGATTCAATTGAGCACACGAATAAAATTGGTTTCTTCTTAGCTTCAATCACGGCGGGTGTAGATTGTAGTAGGAAAAGTAGGCATCAGTGTTCGATAATTGGTTATTTCTTAGATGCAATTCGGAAATTGGTAAAATGTATGATACAGTTTGCAACTAATTTTTAGTTCTCCAATTTCCTGATACACTCATGGTCCAAAATTCTACAGCTTGTGTGGCAGTGCCAATCTAAACTAGACTAATAGAAAACCGCAATATTTTTCTAAAGAACATTCTTTCTAATTCAAAAACATCCAAGTAAAATTGAAAAACTTATCATAAGAATCAACAACAAAATGAAAAAATTAATAAAGCCATTTTCACATAGACCAACGATGCTTTGAATAAACCGATGTTAATTAAAACGTTACAAAGAAGAGGGAAAAAGGAAAGTTAGATAAATGAAAAGTATGAAAATATATTAGTGTACTTATTTATGGAAATTTTCTAATAGCTCTGAGTTTGGAAGTGAAACTTCTGTAATTCTTCGCTGGAACGATTTGGAATATGTTTAACAAAGACTAAAACTAACACAGGAAAGAGCGAATATTAAAGTCGGCGTATCTAATACCATAGCACACCATCATTATTAAGTAAAAATTAGTTAATCCGGCTAGGCAAAATGAACATGCAATCAAAATTATATGTTTGGTATGTGGAAAATTCCTAATGCGGAATTCATTCATTTTTCTGTCTTGGAGGGGAATACTAATTATTTAATGACTGTAAAAATTCCAAATTAAAGCCAATTCATATCCGTATTATGATGATAAAAACCCAATTCTAGTCCGCATTAGACAGGTACTCCAGACAAAAACCCATTCATTTTGTCTCTCATTTTATTTTTTAATGCTTGGCGGTTTAATGTATTAATAACTAATCTTGTGATGTTATTGCGGTTTAGTATGGGAAAGGTAGTCAATAGAACAGGTTCGATGCCAATTAATTAAAAATTCAGGTTTAGACCCCGAAAAGTGGAGGTATTTGGTCTTTCATCAAACCATCAGGAGTTTCATCAAACCATCATAAAAAAGGCAAAAAAGTCAAACATAAAGTTAAATGTGTTCTTCGTTTAACAGCAAACCAAAACATCACCAATTTAAAGTAACGAAACAAAACAGAGGAATTTTTTTAACATGATGCAAGTTACTAAATGAACTACTGCTATTCTCTTAATCTCTATCTTGTGCAGACGAAAATGTGGACTCTGGTTCATTTAATTCGGGTGTTGTTTTTTTGAATCGGCATACCGTTATAACTTCTAAACCAAAATCGAGACCCAACATTCTTCAATAAAGTAGTCAGAATTCAATATTCTCAATGCTTAATAGACTTTGTATATTGAAATGTATTTGGATGTATTTGTATATGAGAATTTAACTTTGTATATACAGGATGTTTGATAAGTAGATGCATTTCTTGCATCGAGTTATAGTGCAAGTAATTTGTGTATATTTAGTTAATATACCGTGTTCCGAAAACGCTTACGGTTTTCCATTTACAGGGTGATAAAGTTTTAATTTAAAAAATGTTAGATATTTTGCGGAAACAGCTTGGAATATTTAAACGAAATTTTTATAGGCTTAGGCTCTTAAAAACAATACCTGTTTTGTGACGTCAATTTTGTTTCTAGCCTTTCCAGTGGCACGGGCACAAACACGACTGTAGATAATTTAAATAATAAAAATTTTACGCCACGCATTTTTTAAGCAATAAACCTGATGATTCAAATTCCTGTTTAATTTGGAAGAGAAAAGGTCTCTTGACTTTTTTCCTACGACTTCCCGTTTTCCAGTAAATAAATTAAAATCCATTTATTGCATAGCTTAATCGGGTTCTAATTAAGTAGGGGTTAGTATAAAAACAAAAATTGTAAACTAGATTATGACAAAAATAAATTGTATGCATTTTATTACAAAAAAAAAAACGCAAAAAGTAGTTACTCAGACACTCGAAATAACAGCAATTATTTTTGAAGAGCCAACTTTTTAAATAAAAAACCGATTACGGCATGCATTAAATTGATTTTAATTTTTTTAGTCAAACACGGTGCGTTGTAGGAAAAAAGTCAAGAGAGTTACAATCGCCTTATCACTAAGACTGCATTTCATCCAGACGCAATTCAGCATCTTAGTGTCTATTGTTTAAGATTGTTTTCCTTAACATGCA